CTTTTCCCTTGCCCCCCCTGCCATTAGCCACTGTTGGAAGACAGGATACTGGGCTAGATAGACCATTGGTCTGACCCTGTATGGTTGTCTAAGATTGTAAAAAATGTCTGAAAGTTTGTTCTGAGTTAATTCCCAATTCTGTCCCTGAATTGTAATTTGCATTTTTAAACTCTTCTTTCTTCCTCAACATCTTCAATAAATGCGCCCATTTTAGGGCTTTAGAGATTTCAAAATTCGAAGTAACCCCTTGCATTTTTGGTTAGCAAATCATTTAGAACACTATTGTTAGTTGAGTGCCATTAGTTTCAAGATAGGAGAGGTGGAAGAGCTCGTTGTCCCTTGTCCCTTTTGTTGTCTCTGGGCATTTATTTGTGGGTTGTGTTCCTCTATGCATAACGAAGTGGGGTGGGGGATATTCAGATTGTTACAGGGCAGAGACTGACTGCTACCTAATGGTGAGACTAGTGCAGTTGTTCCCCAGTGTGCTAAAATTGTAACATTAGGTAGGACAACTTTTGAACATGCTATCTGCTCACATCTTGCTTATCAAAATGACATTTCTTAATGCTTGTGTTTTCTAAACAGTCTGTATCCGCATTTGCTCCTATCTGCAATCCAGTTCAGTGTCCATGGGGGAAGAAAGCCTTTGGTGGCTATCTGGGATCAGACCTAACTCAATGGGAGGTATGTGTTGGAGAGTCCCGTCCTTTAATGAACCGTAAAAATGATTGTGACTGCACTGTGCAGTAGGGAAGCAGAACATGAAATGATAATGTATCGTTCAAACAGAAGTCATCCCAACAGCAAACACTGAACCCTGCTGCACAATAATTGTGTAGTTACTGATCACCATGATACTTCTGGCTCTGTACAAAAGCCGTATTTTAATGGGAGGCTGCTCTTACCACATACAGTAAGTTCTCTCTTCACTTCTGAAGATCTTAAACTGTGAGATAAGTAGGAATATGAGCAAGCTGTGGCTTTCTGGAAACCTTAAACTGATGCAAATCTAATCCCCCTTTTAGTGGGATGAAAAGCACTGCAGGCACCGCTTACAGTGTGTACACTGCAAGTGAAGGTGTTGTCATAACATGGATAGGCTAACTTTAGTTGAGTTAGCACATCTGACCATAGCAGTGTAGACGTGGTGGCCTGGACATCAGCCCGGGCTAGCAATCAGAATACATATGTAGGCCAGTGATTCTCAAACATTTTGGGCTCCGGAGCCATTTACGTATGTAAAAATTTATGCGGAACCCCAGCGGTCCACTTATGTGCAGAGCCCCAGTGGTCCACTGATTGTATGTATTGTACCTATCGATGTTTCCAGTATGTCAACCTCGCGGGACCCCTGGGCCTCCCCGGAGCACAGCTTGAGAAGCACTGACCTAGGCTAACTGAAAGGCTTATATGCTGACTGCTCACCCATGCGATAAGGATGTAAGCAACTAGTTGAAAACCTGATAAGCATTATCGGGTAGTCGAATAGGAACTCAACTAGTCGCTTTCCCCCTCTTGCTGCTTCTATCAGAGAGAGGCAGCCACGGGGGGAGCAGGAGCAGGAGCTGGGAGGAGCCGTCTTAAAAGCTGGTTCCCACCAGTGCTGTCTTTGTGGGGGGCGGAGAGCAGTGGGGAAATGGCACAAGCGGAGATTGAAACAGTCCCGGTCACGCCGGTCCCGGCTACTGCTCCTCTGCCATTGAAATGTACAATAGCCGCCTGCAACAGCTTGTACATTTCAAAGGGAGAGGCGCAGCAGGATAGCGAGTACTCTCCTTATCGACTAATCAAAATTTAACATCCCTACCATGCTACCACATCTAGCTAAACTAAAGCAGTCAGACTGCGCTGACCTTAGCTACAGTCAGACATTAACTTACAGTCTGCATATCCAGATTGTAGATTTCTGTATTTTCTGTGCACAGAGCAATTGTTTCTCTCAGTAAGTGAGTCTGAATTCTGTTGGGACAGGCTGACAAAACCTTTGGTGGTTTGATCATGATTCAATGCTATGGGCAGTGATTCCAAAATAACAGAGTTAGAGTCCATGTGAGAGAGAGATAGGGTATTGGCCTTAGAACCCTACTTTGAATTAAAAAAAATCAATAATTCACATTCAACATACTCTATAGTTTGGATAGCCTTTTATTATTTTTACTTTGTGTAAATATTGGACACCAGTTTGTTGCATTGTATGTCCCTATCCTTTACTGAACAATTATTCTAACCTAGTTGTTCCTGTATTTAGTTAAGTGAAAAACCACATTCTTCAACATTGTGTTACACTTTTAATTCATTTCATTTTATTTCTACAGGCATATGATGCTACCCATCTTGTGAAGTCTTATCCAGATTCCCATCTTGACATCTTAATTGATCAGGGCAAAGATGACCAGTTCCTATCAGCAGGGCAGTTACTGCCTGACAACTTTATTGCTGCCTGCACAGAGCGGAAAATCCCAGTAGTCTTTAGATTGCAACAGGCAAGTACCAAAATGTAGCTTTTTTCCTCTGTTTGATGCATTCTTCCCATATCTACTGGATTGACTCTGGCTAGCTGCTCCAGCTTTTAGGCACACAGACAGTCCCAGTCCTGAAATAAACAAGACAGGCAAAGACTGAAGGGCTACAGAGAAGTCAAGTGATTTGCCCTAGGTCACACATCAGGTCATTGGCAGGGGACAGATGTTCTCCTGATTCAGTGCAGTGACCTATCCCCTAAACCCAACTGATTTAATTACATTTAACCACTCCAGGGGCAGCTGACTTTTAGCTTAAACATTACAGGGTGTTCAGAGTGCAATTCAACCTACTGGCAACAGGCTCATGAGGGAAAATACATCCATTTTGTTCAAGATAAGTATCTGGCTCTGTTTTTAATGTGATATTACAGTAACTTATTACAAGAACATTTTCATCACAAATCCTTTTTCTGATTTCGCATCTGTATACATTTGAACAACTTGCGAGCAGGAATTTGTTACCCAAAAATTCCCACTGGAGATCACTCAGGGTTTCACTAGTATGGAATTAATACTCCACTATATGGTTAAACTAAAGAGGATTTATTGATTGAGGAATTAATATTCCACTATATGGTTAAACTAAAGAGGATAGAGCTGCCACTAAAGATTTAAACTAAAGGGGAACCGACGCTCGCTCTCTCTCACAAACACACACACATACCTTCATTCATTCACACACATTCATTCCTGCCCTCAGGCACTCACACACTTACATAGGCATATGGGTTGCAGAAGGAGCCAAGGCATGTAGATTCCGGAGGGTCTGTCTGCTAGTCGTGGCTGGGGAGCTGGTCGGAAAAGAAAGAGAGCTTCTGGCTGCAGAAAGAAGTTTCTCAAAGAGCTTCTACCATGTGTTCTCTTCTTTTATTGCCTCTCTACAACTCCTGTGACTCATCCACATTCGTCTCCAGGGAGCATGCCCAGACTTCCCTTGATCCAGCAGAGCAGCAGTCTCTCTTTGATTGGTTTGATGACTTTTCACCTGGTTCCCTGTGCTCAGCCTTGCAGTTTCTAATCCCAAACACACAATTGTCTCCACTCACACCTTCATATCTCAGGGGAGAATGCAGTTTAGAGCAAGTTACAAGCGGAATGGATGCAAGTTGCAAGGTTTAAAAAAGATTACGAGTTGCAGAGTTTAAAAGGCAGTACAGCTGAAACAATTACAAAGCTTCAGAGAATCATTTACAAATCATCAGTAAAGAAGTGATTTAGAAGTCAACTGTCCTTTCCCGCCCTCCCCCAACCCCCCAAGCAATGCAATCAGCAAGAGGTTTTTGTCAGTCCCTAAGTAATGTGTTGGCAGGACCTTCAGTTTAGAGTATTTCCAGAAAATCCTTGTGTAAAATCAAGTAATAGCTCAGGAGGAGGCTTTATGCAACAGAAGTGGAGAACTGTTTACGTGGTACATGGTTAGCCTTGGCTAACAGAATTAGTTGGGAGGCAAAGAAAGAGCCCCCCCCCCCTTTCCTGTAGCATTAAGGCACAAAATAGCACTAGCCTGAAATTCTTCAGGGTGTTTGAAGTGACTCTGTCCTGTCTGCCATGTCCTCTCACAACAGCTCCTGCCCACTTAACAGGGTTTTTTTTTTAACTACTTCTCCTCCCTCTCTTTTTGGAGTATGCCCATCTTCATCTGGATGTACTAGGGCAGTCTAATACCTAGCCAGTACATGTTGCCTCTTGGGCCATGCATAAATCTGAAACAAATAACCTCCTTACTCCCTTTTTAAAATGAGTAGATAGGCATTGAATGAGTTGTCACTAACAATACTCAAACATACAGCATTACAGTACCTTTTCATTGAGTACCTTCAGTTGTTGAATCTGCTTTTCTCTTTGCTAGGGCTATGATCACAGCTACTTCTTCATCGCTACATTTGTTAATGATCACATCCGGCACCATGCAAAATACCTTAATGCTTGAACCTCAGGCATTTCCTCTTTCCAGGACAAGACAGTACGTACACACATGGAAATAAAAATCACTTGCTGAATAGCGCCTATTAAAATTGAGTCATACTGATTGTACTGCTACAAAATCCTTTCATTCTGCGTACTTCAAAATAAATATTTTTGAAGCTGCTTGTCTGCTTTGAAAGTTGTTTAACCCTATTGGGAAAAGCTTCCTGAGGTTCAGAACTGAAACGGTCGTTTAAGAGTTTTTGTTCTTAAACAGCATATTGCTGTAGGATATGTCTGATCTCAAAAATGTGTCGACTGCAGCAGGAAGCATGAGGGGGAGAATAGTTTGTTCAGCACTAAGTGACAGAGTAACCGGACAGTTTTGAATATATGCTTTTATATTGAAGTGTTTTTCTCCTGCGTATTGAAATGTACTTCTAGACCAAAATCTGTAGCTGTTGACAGAAAATGCAGACATGCTTAGATTGCATTGTGATGAACCATTTCTAAGAGCCCAGCACGGATACAAAATTTGTATCAGCATCCACATTCAGGTCTGCAAAAATGAGCCACTGATGCGGATATCTGCAAATTTGTAGGATGCTCAATACATAATTTGCATAAGCATCTGTATCTGCCAAAATGAATTGTGGATATCTGCATCCACCTCCTTGTTAACATTGAACTTGCAGCTTGAGGTGTGAAGCGAAAGGGATCCTGTGACAGACACTGAAGGCAGCTATCTGAAATCAGGTATTAAAAGTTCATCCTTTTTATGACTACCATTCAGTAGTTTCTGGGGGGAAAAAGGCTACCGATTCTTCTAAGAACGAAGGAATAAAGGCCTTTACCCTAACTGGTTTCTGATGGATGGAAAAGCAGTGGAATAGACCTAAAGAAACTAACAAGCAGAGCATTGGGGAACAGATTCTGCTGCTTCTTAATACCATATGGACTGAGAACAACTGGGGATATTTTGCATGAGTATAAGTAGCAGAATCTGACCCTATTGTACCAGATTTTAAATGATTCTTTATGATGTATAACTACCTGCTCTCTGTGTGTGTGTGTGTGTGTGTGTGTGTGTGTGTGTGGTGGTGGGTGGGAGGGGGGGGGGGGGGTTGGCGTGGGTGTGGGGGGGGGGGGGCAGATTGTCAGCCTAGTGTACAGTAGGATTTGAGAGTTACCACTAGTTAATACAACTGTTTCTACAAGTGGCACTAGCCTTATGTGGCGGGGCCGAATTTAGCCAGCCTACTCTGACTGTTCAGTGTGCAAGAGCTTTCTCTGCATTATGTGGATTCAACAATCAGTGCCTTTCCCTCCTCCAGTAGTGGTACTGGCTATTTCAGCTGGGAGCTGGAGTGATAGCTTTACTGTTTTGATAGATTTGGAGGGAGGGGGAATTTCATACCTACAGCAAGTCCATAGGAAAACTTGCTACTACAGGTTCTCAAACCTTAAACACGGACCTCATCTTTATAGAGCTTATGGACCATCTCCTGTTTGTGATCAGGTAACATCCCCGTGTAGCATGTGGCAGTTGCTTACATGAACAAGTGGGTCAGTAATGTAAGTTCATGACTTCTAATAAAATAAAGGAGCTTGGACAAAGCTTTCATCCAACCTCCAGAATCTCCTGCTGGAATCTTGACTTCCCGCTCGGGGCAGAAAGCTTAGCAGTTGGGTTTGTGCACAAAATGTTTGGGTCTAGAACCCACACATTACTTTGGTTCTAATTCCACTTATCCCACTGACTGCAGTGCTAGGAGGAATGATGCTATATACTACCTGGCTGTGTCTAGGCTGGTCAGTTTTTCCGGAAAATCAGCCACTTTTCCAGAAAAACTTGCCAACTGTCTACACTGGCCGCTTGAATTTCCGCAAAAGCACTGACAACCTCATGTAAGATGGTCAGTGTTCTTGCGGAAATACTATGCTGCTCCCGTTCGAGCAAAAGTCCTTTTGTGCAAAAGGGCCACTATAGACAGCTCAGATTTGTTTTCCGCAAAAAAGCCCCGATCGCAAAAATGGCGATCGGGGCTTTTTTGTGGAAAAGTGCGTCTAGATTGGCACGGATGCTTTTCCGCAAAAAGTGCTTTTGCAGAAAAGCGTCCGTGCCAATCTAGATGCTCTTTTCCGCAAATGCTTCTAACGGAAAACTTTTCCGTTAAAAGCATTTGCAGAAAATCATGCCGGTCTAGACGTAGCCCTTTTGTATGTAGTGACTGCTAAAGTGAACTCTTCAGTTACATAGGTTGATAGTCCCTCAATATGTAAGGTGGGGAGCTGTTAGCTGTGTGCTCATTTTCTACTAATTAAAACAGTGAACGGAGTGCTCTAATTCTCTACACCACTTACACAAACATCGGTCCACCATGAAGCAGGCTATTTGTCTTTGCTGAAACCTTACTGGCAGAACTACCAGAAGACATCAAATACCAGTTCGGGGCCTGTAGTCTGCAACTAAAATTCAAAACCACTATTTTGGGTCGCATATAGATGTAATTTTCCTCAAAGAGTCTGATACAATTCTGCTCTTATTTACTGACAGGCTAAATATTTCAAACCACTGCAAGTCTATTAGTTTTCAAGCAGCTGGAAAAATAATGTTCCATTTACCTTTTGGACACCCCCTCCCCCTCAAGTCCTGTGCAGGTGCATGACAGTACAAAGCAAGTTACTGCTACAAGCGGATATTAGAAGAGTTGCTCAGTTTAAAAAGAATTAATACAAAGATCTGACCTCCAGCACACGAGCCCTTGGCAAATGAGGTATTTGGCCAGCTCGCGTGTTCTAACACTGTTTCTCAACCAGTGGTGCGAGTATCCTTAGGGGGTAGCTAAAACAAAAGACAGAACTATGCAGCACTTTAAAGACTAACAAGATGGGTTTATTAGGTGATGAGCGTTGGTAAAAAATTGTCTGGGATGTTTCCATGCAAAGGGGAGTGGGGAGAGAGCAGTGGCATTAACTTGTCAAAACTGAACATTTGGAGTTGCATGCCCAGCTGTTTACAGCCACTCTGCGCACATGCCTGAGCACCTGGCGGGAAAAGAGTGTGGCTGCAGCAGCGGCTCTGGTGAGACCCAGGGCAGTTCCAAGTTGGTGGGAGAAAAAATACCAATCACTTCCACAGCCACCTCGCCTGGTTCATTTCTTCTCCGGTAGCCTCCCTGGGGTGCTGCAGCAGGGAGGGTGGCTGAACCTGGAAATGCACGTTCCCACCAGCAGCTCAGTACACCACATCCTCCATCGCCCCTTCCCCATGGCACTGCGGAGAGGAGCTAAAAGGCAGTGAAGCAGCACAAACTTTGATCCAAAGGACCCCCCCTCTCCCCAGCATCAGCAGCATAGCGAGGGGGACACGGGCAATTGCCCCCAGGTGCCATGGTGGGAGGGGGGCACCAGGCTGGGGTGGTAGAGCACAGTCCCACTGGCGAGCCTGGCACTAGTAGGTCACTTGCTTCCTACAGCTAAGCTGCAGCGGCAGGTTACCATACATCCAAGCTGCGTCTATACTGGCATGATTTTGCGCAAATACTTTTAATGGAAAGGTTTTTCTGTTAAGAGTATTTGCGCAAGAGAGCCTCTACACTGGCATGTGCCTTTGCACAAAAGATTTGCTTTTGTGCAAAAGCATCCGTGCCAGTGTAGACGCTCTCTTGCACAAGAAAGCTCTGATGGCCATTTTAGCCATTGGGCTTTCTCGTGCAAGAAACTAACGTGGCTGTCTACACTGGCCCTCTTGTGCAAGCATACTTGCGCAAGAGGGCTTATCCCTGAGCGGGAGCGTTGGAGTATTTGCGCAAGAACCACTGATTTTGTGCATTACAAAGGCAGTGTTCTTGCGCAAATATTTGTGGTCAGTGTAGACTGGCGGTAAGATTTTTCTGCAAAAGTGGCTACTTTTGCGCAAAATCATGCCAGTCTAGACGCAGCCCCAGTGTCTGGCTTTGGGGGAAGGGAGGGGCATAAGGTTAGAGCAGGGGGTGTGGGGCTGGGGATGCCTGGATCTGGGGGAACTTAAAATTTTTTTTTAAAAGGGGAACTTTATAAAAAAAAGTTTAAGAAACACTGTTCCAACAGAAGATCTCAACCCTGTATTGCTGCTGTGCGCCATGTTGTAGGACAGTGTTTCTCAACCAGTGGTATGAGTACCCTTGGGGTACTCGAGAGATGTCTGGGGGGCACATCAACAATTGAAATTTGGAGAAAACTGAATTTTTGTTGCAAGTTTTACAGCACTTTTGTACTTTTTACACCCAAAAATTTCATTGCTGGCCCAACTACAATTAAGTTGTTTAAGCACGTGTTGCAATGGTAGAAAATGTTTGTGTGTCTGAAAACTGTAGGTACTGAGGGTACTTATAATTTTTTTTTAAAAGGAGGTACTTTATAAAAAAGGTTGAGAAACACTGTTGTAGGACATCTGTGATGGTGTGGTGACAATTATCAACTGTGTAAATATGTAAAACATCTCTTCGTTTATTCTGAAATAGCCATGTAACTTAGCAGCAACATCTGGTGCAGTGATTAGTGCATAGAGTTTGAAGTGTTTTATAGCCTGGCAGATTATCTGTTGGGTATTATTTCTACCCTTATGGGGATGGGAGACAGGACTCTCCAGCCCTTTACTCCTGCCACTAGCTGTATGTATTGCAGAGGTAATTTGCACAGCCTCCTCACTGCAGTTTACTTTGCTGTACAAAAGGAATGGTAGCTCTGCTGCCATGGAACTTTGCAAACTATTAATTTATCCTCATTTGAAATTTGTATGATGCTCATCTCACCAAGAGCAAAGTAAATTTTTCAGTGGAAGCTAGAGAGCTTCTACTCAGAATATGCCATTCACAGGGCATTTCCTTGACAACCTATACATGTAACTAAGCAGAAACCATTTTAACTAAAATACACAATTCCTACCGGCATCTTAGACATTTATCATTCTACAGTAACAAGTGACAGGCATGTGGGTGCTATAAAGTATTAAAAGCAGGTGTGAAAAGTTGTTGCATTTCCTTTGAAGTTAAACTTAAAATTTTACTCCCTGTATTTTCTTTCAAATATTACATCATTGATGTATCTTAAATATATTATTAAACAGGGTCATTTAGCAATGGTAGGCAGAGTGGTATGTTGTGATAAAACACAGCTCACCACCAGCCTCTGAGAAAACAGGCTCATACTTGTTGCATGTACAAGATCTATTTTTAAAATTTCCCTCTGAGGCCCTTTTCTACGAGCAATTGTTTCAGAGAGCACCACAGAGAGGTGATTTAAGAAAATTAACTGAAAGAAGCTTCAATAAGACAAGTCCCAGCTCAATAAAATGCATTTGCTCCTTTGACTACCAACAGAAGTCACTGGAAGGCTGATTTTAGGAAACTAGATCCCTCTCATGGCAACTGCAACTGTAACACTATTTTTCACACCAACTTTCTTTCTTCCTGCCAAGATTTGCTGACCTTGCAGTAACTGACATGACAACTGGCACTGTAGCAGAATCTCTGCCATTTGTGATGCTATCACCTCATGGAGCAGAAAAACAGAATGGGGCCTGTGAGTTGTGTAGTCTTGCCTAATCTTTGTATGAAAGCTATTTGCATATATATGCAACCACACTTAAGTGGTGGCTCACGGCATGTGCTGTCAGTATCATTGTGGCCCCCCAGGGCTTCCAAAGTTAAGTAGCCCTGACTTAGACACAGGGATTACTACCACAATCAAGGGTATTAGTCATGGTAGTTAGAGCCTCAGGCCTCGGATTGTAAAGCCTTCAGGAAAGAGACCTTTCTTCTCAGCTGTAAAGAGCAACAAGTTAAAGTATATACCCCTGTAGAGGTTATTTTAATGCTGAGGAAAACAGGTACAATTATTTCCTTACCAAACCTTACTTTCTAGGGACTAGTTGCAGGTCTGTAAAATGATCAGATAAGTTTCTGCCTTTAATCCCACATTAGAGAGAGGTTCCTGATTTTTTTTCCCCCTTTCTTCCAGTAGTTATGTCACCCCACAGCTCTACTGTCCCAAATCGTGGGCAAATAGACTAGAAACTGAAGCAGGATCATAATATAATCCAGTGAAGTTGCAGACTGATTTAAGCAGAGAAGATATCTACATAGATTTTACTGTTGTCTCAGCACAGAATGCATCAAAGGAAGCTTTTCCAGTGAAATACAGCTGGGCCAGAAGAACACACCCATAACAACCCAAACACTGCAACTGTCTATTTGCATGGTGGTTTCTAGCAACTTGTCTGGAAAAACAGAAGTCTGTAAGATCAAAGGACCTTCAGTTAGCTCTCGTTGGTTTCCAAAAAAGGCAGTATTGCTCCTTTTATTTGCTTCTGATTTCCTTCAACAGCTATAGACTGATGGTCTCATACCTGAGAATTTGTACAATCAGTAAATGAATACAAATAAAATGGCTTAATTGCAGCTAGAGTAAGGTTTGCACTATATACACAATGTTAATTGTTTATGGTATTGACAGGAGGCCATGCAGTTTTTATTGCACATATAAAGAGTGTACAAAGATTCATGAAGACTCTTTTTAGCCATACAGGTTAAGACTGAATAAAAAAGCTGTGTTACAAAATATTTAGAGCTATTTACAGTCAACTTTAAGCAAATATTGAAAGTCTCTATTAGGAGAAAAACAAATTTTAATTATGAAAAACAGGATTTGTCAAAATAATAATTACAATGCTTCATGTTGCGTATATACATTGTAACAAAAAAATACTCAGGAACCAGCATTTTACCCTCAATGCAGCAATCAATATTCCTATGTAAATAGTCAATTTCTGAATGCTTTCAAAGTTTGATACACTGAGTTGAAAACCTATTTTCTTTATATTGTTCGTGCTATTTGACAAAACAGATTTTTGTGCAGTTCTGAAAAATATTAAAATGTTTACATTTAGTGTTAAAGTGCACAATTACATTGTATAGGGAACCATATGCTAGCTGCCAATCAAAATTTCAATGCAAGTCAATGTTCCTGCTATAGAACAAGTGCTTTTGTTTTGGTTGAAATAACTGACTATTCCATCCATATTTTATATATCATTATATTGTGCCTGAGTTTACGTTTTTCCCTAGCAGATTGTTATTGATTGTGTGCCATAATCTGTGATGTTAAAATCGCAGAGTCTGGATTCAAACACTGTACATATTCAGGATTAAAAATATAATTAATTGGAATACTGGTCATTTTTAAAATGCAGTGTCTTTTGTGAGAACACTCATATAACTCTGCCTTGAATATGCAATATTGTGACAAGTGTACACATTCTTTTAAACTGATTGTTATTTCTCTTCATAGCCATTTTTATTATTCAGTTCACCCTCTATCTTGTCTCACTTTTGCTGTAATGCGTTTCTGACTCTCCCTTCTTAAATGTTACATGGACCCCTAACAGCCATCCTTTTTACCACATGCAACTTCCCTGTCTTGTTTGCCTAAATTACTTATACCACTGGATCTCCACACAAAAGAAAATGGATGTTCCTAAGACTGTGCTAGAACTTTTCTACCAAAAATATTGGTCTGATAATGACTGAACAATAAATTAAGAGTTTTAAAACCTCCTTTTGATATTAAAAGGAACAAAAAAATCTTTAATTCTTACTGCTGAACTGAGACAAGGGGTCTGTCTGATCCTGCAAATACTCATTACAGAGCAGTGTGCATAGTAATATGAGAAATACCACGGAAGTTCATTAATTGCAAGAGACCACTCACAGTGGTAAGCACTGCAGCCTACAGTACGTATTTGGAGTATCAGGCTTTTGCAATTGCAATGAAATTATATTTTCTTGACAGAACCTCTTTTTTAAAAAAGCAAGCATTTTTGACTATGTAGTCAATGTTCTTTTTTCCCACCTTTCTTGTGCTACTTTTTATTTCTTCCATAGTGCTGTATCCTTTTAAAATTACTCAAGTTACAGTGCAAAATTATATTTCAAGACATGTGATGCTAATGCACATCACTTATTTGTTGTAATAAAAGTTTAATGTCTTGTGCATAGTAAAATAAGTATCAATCAAAAATATTTGTTCACATTTATGTTTTCAAGTTTAATCTTTCCTTTTTTTTAATAATAGCTATATACAAATAAAAAGGTGTGCTTCTCTTTAGTTCAACCAATTTCATCTAATGGTGGGGGGAGTGGTGCTGGAATGTTAGACACTAACTGGAATGCAGACAAACTATACCAATCTTCCACAAACCCAAATACAAAGAATGTCATCCCAGCTTAACGTTCTTTTCATTAAAGCACCTATTTTTTATTGTTTATCATACATATTAGAAAATATGAATATGGATACCTAGAATTACTGCACACCAAGTAGAATAAAAATAACTAAATATTTATATTAAAATAAAGTGTTTAACCACAAAAAAGCAGTAATAAAATACAGTTTCCTAATTTACATTTTGCATCCAAAGGATGAATAACAACTCACTAATAAATAATATTTATATAAATATTTTAAGTCTGAATATTTTTAAAAGGCAATGACCTGAAGCAACTGCAGAAAAACAAACATGGTAAAATTCAGTTTTTTTTTTTAAAATTAAGATGCTCTTGGCTTTAACAAGATGAACATATTTTGTTGCAAGGCAGCTGTACTCCACACTTATGTAAGTAGCAGAGAGATGGCTGTTTTAAGAGGAGCTGTACAAAGTAAGCTATAAAAGCAGTGAAATGCTAGCAGTTTGCTTTATAAAATGATTACTAGTTTGCAGTTTGACATCTTTAGATAATCCGAAAGATTATTTCAGTTCAGAAATGTAGGAATATTCTTTTGGAACAGAAGGATATTTTTCAATGCAGTTTGAAAAGATGAGCAATGTTTTGATATTTTTATGGCACACTGGAGCGGATTACAGCAGAAATAGTAGTTTCATGTGAATAAAGCTTGCTTCATTGTGGTTACATCTAGTAATGCTTGAACTGTTAGGCTCACTTTTACCAAGCCTCTTTCTTCTAGGATGTGATGTGGTAGGCAGAGCTTCTCCTAGAAGAAAACACAGAAGAGTAAAGATCAGACCTCCTAGTTCTTATTGCAAAATCTTGCTGTGTGCAAATATAGCTATTGGGACTCATTTAAATTACAAAACTTTCTACGCTTTCCATATAAACGATTCTCTTGTTTTGCTGACAGCATACTTGGCCTACTTTGAGTGTTTTAAGAGTCCTGGCCTACTTAGGGCTAATGGGAAACTCTTTTATTCTTACATTTTTAAAGTAACACACACATTTTAACACTTCATATTTGCAATTTGTTTTCAGCAACAAATCTGATGGCACATTCATTTAGGACAATCACTATAAAAACACCAACACCACAGGAAATAGTGAGATACTGAGACATGTTACCATTTACTTAAAAAAAATTCCTGGGGTGAAATCCCAAGCTTGCTGAAGTGAAAAGTAGTTTTGCCGTTGAATTCAATAGGATCAGATTTTCACAGTGGAATGTACACCTCGAACAGCAGTGATTACAATCAACAGATTGAAACGTGAAAAACAACATTCTACATTTAATGGAATGATTTTCCAAATGATTCCAAAGCTCTTTACAAATTTACATTGCTGTACAAAGGGATTACTTCATCCATCCATGGAATGTAGCAACCATTGTCAGAGATGAAACCTACCAACTGTTTTCTAAAAACAGCTACACCGGAACAAACATCTAGTCTATGATTCTGACTCTAGCAGTAGATAATACCAGATCTTTCAGAAAGAGGTGCAGAAACTTCAGGGTGGATCATTATGGATCTCTTAGTGGTTGGTTTGTGTCTTCTAACAATGTTTTCCCTCTTTCAAATGTGGATATTCCCATTCATAGAAACATCTAATCCAATTTGTTATCCTGCTAAATTCTTACTGATATGTAATGGTAATGAATTAGTTCCATAGGTTAATTATTCAAAAAGCTATTTCCTTTTATTAGCTTTAAATGTTGTTCATTTTTTGAATGTCCTTTCTTTTAGAATGTGAAAAGGAGCATCTGCTTTATCTTCTCTATACTATGCATTACTTTGTCGTCCTCTAATATGTCTCATATATATATATATATATCACCTCTCTAAATTAAACAGTCCCAATATTTTAAATCTCTCTTCTTACGATAGTCTTTCCCTTTCTCTAACCCTTCTTAGTACTGAATGTAAGATGACATACAGCATATAATAATGACGTAATATTTTCTATCCTACTATTTATGCATCCTAACATTGTTTCATTTTTTACCCCAGTAATAACTGGATTTCCCCCGAGTCACAGCTCAGTAAAAACCCAATACTTTGTCTAAATGGCTGAAATTATTTCTTTTAATGCACATGGCCCTGGCCTTGTTAAGTATGAGAATTTTATCTGTCATTGTCCTTTCCATACCGTGAAATTCCTCATGATCTTCTCTAGCCTTGACTAACCTAAATAATTCTGAATCACCTTCAAATTTTGAAACCTCAGTGATTTTATATAACTACACAGGTTCTGGTATGGATCTGTGTGGCACCCACAGCATGAAAGGGATTTTGAAATCATACAAACAATCCTAGTGAGACCTATCTTATTTGACTGAGGTGCTGCAAGCTCCCAAAGGGTCAGACAAGATGCCCTTCACTTCAGCTTCCTCATTTTCTTTTTTTAACAGATGTACAGAGGGACATTTCTTTTTGAAGAAATATATAGAGAGACCCTGTAAGGCTTAAAGTCTTTCCTTTAGATGCAAACTGTCATGCAAGTTGATGTATGATTGGTAGTGAGGTATCTAAACAAAAAAAAAATGCTTTCAGTTTCAAATACAAGACAAAAGTGAAGGCTTTCTTCACTTCTTGTAATGTTAAGTTTTATTGAAATACGTCTTAGGTCAGGTCTACAGTAGACCTGAAAGGTTGGCTTAAGAATACGTAACTGGAGTCGGCTTACCAAATGTTCCCGTCGATTTCCCTTACTCTTCATGAAAGCAAGGAATACGGACGCTGGCAGGAGCTGCCCTCAGCATTCAATTTATGGGTCTAAACTAGAGCCGCTAAATCAAACACCAGAACGTCGATCTCTGGTGCGGCAAGTGAAGATGTGCCCCTAAAGGGGTAGCCATGTTAGTCTGTACTTGTAAAAATAACAGGAGTGTATGGCACCATAAAGATTAACAGATTTATGGGGGCATATGCTTTTGTGGGCTACGACCAGCTTTGTCAGACTAATGACTGACTGATGTATCTGATGAAGTGGGTCTTTGCCCACAAAAGCGTATGCCCAAATAAATCTGTTAGGCTTTATGGTGCCACAGAACTTACGTACGTTAGGGAACTGTGGTCAATCTAATGTCTCAAGAGACTCCTGCTCATAATGTCCTCAGTTTTAGAATCTCTAGGAATAAAATATTCTGATGCTAGTTTCAGATAAACATATTTGTATATTTTAAAGTCAAATGATTTTTTTAAAAGTATTTTTCTGCTCCTATTGGATATGGCCCCTCTCAACCAGGGGTTGGACTAAGGAAATCCAACAAAAAGTGACATGTATGAGGTCTGTCTCTGTATACCAAGCGTTTCATTACCCTTACATTTTCAGACACAAACTGCTGTACATTAAATTATTGGAAACTGAAGTGAGTATTTGAAAACAAAAGGAAAAAGTTACAAATCTTTGATAAGAGACTCAGAAATAGCTTTAAAAATCACTGCTAGATATTTGTAACTTTGAATGCATTCTTAAAATGAAATGTTTGTTCCAAGTCACTTCTACTAAAGCCATAACTAAATGGAACGTAGTTCAGTTTAAGGAGACTTATACCTCACACTTAAGACTTTTATTGTAAAAACTATTCATTGTTCATCTAGCCACCTATATCAGTCAGAGAGCTTTTGTTTTACCTATTGATTTTCCATGGCTACAGAATGTTTATTGTTTTACAATTACGCACAAAAAGAGTAATGGCAGAGAGTAAATGAGTTAAGTCATCCATTTTAAACCATAAAGTCCTCCCCAATACACTTTTGCTTTCTCTTTAAAGAAAATGAATTAACAAGTTCAAAGCCTAATGCTATATTGTAGTCAAATATAAAACCAGTATCTCAGAGCTCTATTATGAAATAAAGGAAGCTTTTAAAAGACCCATATAAAAGCAGTCTCTAGGTTTAATTTCTGGTTTTTAAAGCATAAATAAGAACAGTACTTTGTATCCAGCACATTCACTTTTCCCATTATACATCTCCCTGTATAGCTTTTGCTCAGTTCCCTTAGCTCTTTCATATGCTCAAAGGCTTCTACGTTACCAACAAGACAATGGACATTGCAAAGTCATAAGGAACAACATCAATGAACAAACACAAGGGTTATGCGTTTTGACAAATATTCCAGAACAGTTACTGGATCCTGTACCATCCTATAAAAAAAACCTCTCCTCTCAACTTTTCATTTTCATAACTAACTCAATTCTTATTCACCTCAATAAAGAATCTAAGTGCTGAGCTTTACATTCCAGGTTTTTAAGTTGTTCACATGATCTAGCACAACCTTACTACCGCCTCAAATCCAAATCCTTTTCTGAATCCCTATTTTGTTCAAATCACAGCTCAACAACATTCTAGCACATTCTTTTTTTAAATTAAATCTTACCAAGGGCTTTATCCAAACTCCAAGGAAGTCAGAAGGAGCCTTTCTAAGACTTCATTGGGCTTTAGATCAGACCCCAAATCTCCAGAATTACTCTCATTCAATCATTTTTCCTAAAATTTGGCCACTTCCTCTTCTCCTCTGTCCTACCTACCTAACTAAGGGTACGTCTAGACTGCATGCCTCTGGCGACAGAGGCAGTAGATTAGGCTACCCAGCATAGGAAAATGAAGCGGCGATTTAAATAATCGCCACTTCATTTAAATTTAAATGGCTGCTGCGCTGAGCCGAACAGCTGTTTGTTGGCTCAGCACAGTAGTCTGGACGCTCCATGGTGGACATCAAAGGCATCTCAAATGCAGGATGGATGAAAGCTGTGCTTTTCTGCAGGCTGCGCTTTCTCCCATCTCTGCCTATTTTTTCCTTTCTTTTTTTTCTTAGAGCATGTCTGTAAAACTGGGTCAGGGCCTGGCGGAGGCTCTCTGCACAGTTCCTGCTTGCATGGAATGGGAGCTGAGCACACAGGCTGCAGTTATTTCTTTCAGACAGCTGTAGTTGAAAAATGTCTTTCAGTGATGTGTGTAACTGCTGAAGCCTCAGAGTCAGGAGTGACAAGCTAATTGCAGTGGAAACTGATTATAAATAGTGAACTTGGATAGAATCTGGCACCATGCCGCTTTCCGCAGCTCCCCTTGACTGGGTACGGCGCACCACAGCCAATGGGAGCTGTGAGGCTCTGTGGCTACGGACACTTAAGTAAACAAAGTGTCACAGGCCCACCAGGGCTTTCCCTGGCAGGTCCATGACTCAGGCTTGAAAACCCCTGCTCTAAGACATAAGTAATGTACTTATTTTACAGCTGTCAAACAATCAGATGAGAGAAACACACTACATTACATGACAGCATAACCAAACTTTTATAGAAATCCAGCATTTCTAGGCACTATTTATTTATTTATTTATTTAAAATAATTTTTCCCCTGCCTCTCTATTTAAAATATTTGAGGCGGCTTACAAATTTTTTTTTAATTAAATGGCAACTCAAGGTCCCTTCCAATTCTATGAAAGATTTGAAGGTAACATGGTCTTGAATAGGCGCTAGATAGTGTTGCAGAGTCAGTCCCACTCCTGGGTCCCAGACCTCTGTTCTGCCCACTATCCCACAGTTTAGGGGCTGCAGATAAGAGTCACTTGCCACACACACACACACACACACACACACACACACACATTTTAAATATAAGATATTCTATCCATCTTAAATTGGCATAACACCAGTGTAACTCCAATAACTTCAACATAAAGTATGATTCATCTCTCAGTAGTATCTTCTTTGAAGTCAATGTAGTTATGTGACTTGTAAAAACAGCGTAAGAGTGATGTAGT